TGCAGCAGAAGCTGTTAATTGAGGGCTATAGGATGACTAGTAACTAAAGGATGTATCTCCATACGCAACGTTGACGTGCAGTTTCAGCATGTAAACTTAAACAAGCAAACTCTCTTACAAGTGGGAGATGATCTCCACTGGGTATGTTTGGGCTGTAAACACTACAAAGTGCTGGGAAGGTCATCCTGGTTGGTAAACTGGGCTCGTAACTTTTAAGATGAGGACACTGGAAATGTAACCCAGGTCTGCTGTTAACTTTCAGATCGCTGTCTTTCATTCAGCTGCCCAGACACTGTAACTCATTTCTGCTTTCAGAAGAATATAACTTCCATGACATCAGCTATTTACTTTTGGGCTAATGTTTCTAACGTTTCTATAACACTTGCACAGAGGTGGGGGAGGTAGAACCCTCCTTATTGTGATGTTTCTGGGTTTGGCTAATGAGTTATTTTGCAGAATTTTCTATTTAGGATCCATTTTATCATTTGCAGGGTAAATCAGAGAAGATGGTAGTAGAAGGGAGCACGTACTCCCATGTCTAAGGACAGGACCTAGATGCCACACCCGTCATCAGAAACTGGGGACAGACACAGTGCTAGCTGTGCCAATGGGAGGAGCTGCACTGGAAATTTAGGTCTTGCCAAGCCTCCATCCTGTGTCGGTCATGAAAAGCACAGACACCATTTACTTCTGACAATGCTGGTTTTTCTCTTTACAGATCTGACCACTTATGACTCAGTGAAACACTTTCTGCTCCTGAACACGCCGCTGGTGGACAATAGCGTGACTCACAGTGTTGCCAGGTGCCCTATTCCCCAATTACCCCTTTTCTGCTGCAGAGCATTTCCAGCCTTGCTGCTTGATCTGCCTCTCCATGCCAGCACAAGCCCCTGTTCTGTGGTTGTGACACTGCTGATAAAATGCACCTTTCTCACTTTCTTTTTTCTTTTTAACTTTCCTACAAAGAGGACATCTTTGTACAAAAAACACAAAACAAAGGATGCAACCATTGCTACCAAACTGCCCTCACTAGAAGTACCTTGCTGATGCATTTGAACACCTCATGGCCCCTCAGTTCAGAAAGGACAGGGAACTGCTGGAGAGAGTCCAGCACAGAGCCACCAAGATGATGAAGGGAGTGGAGCATCTCCCTGCTGAGGAAAGGCTGAGGGAGCTGGGTCTCTTTAGCTTGGAGAAGAGGAGACTGAGGGGTGACCTCATTAATGTTTATAAATATGTAAAGGGTGAATGTCAGGAGGATGGAGCCAGGCTCTTCTCAGTGATGTCCAATGGTAGGACAAGGGGCAATGGGTGTGAGCTGGAACACAGGAGGTTCCGCTTAAATTTCAGAAGGAACTTCTTTACAGTGAGGGTGACAGAGCACTGGAACAGGCTGCCCAGGGAGGGTGTGGAGTCTCCTCTGGAGACATTCAAAACCTGTCTGGACGCCTTCCTGTGTGTTCTCATTTAGGTTCCTGCTCCAGCAGGGGGTTGGACTGGATGATCATTCGAGGTCCCTTCCAATCCCTGACATTCTGTGATACATTTGTGAGGGCACAGGAACGTTCACTTTTCTAAGATTGCTACCATTTTATCTAACCTAGTTTTAATTTTAGCAAACCGTAAGAATAAGCAATATAAACTCTACAGAACAACCGCTTTTACTCCCTTAAATCATCACAGAATCGTAGTGGTTGGAAAAGACCTTTAAGATCACCAAGTCCAACCGTGAACCTAACACTACAAATTCCACCTCTATACCATGTCCCTAAGCACCTCATCTACCCGTCTTTTAAATCCCACCAGGGAAGGTGACTCCACCACCTCCCTGGGCAGCCTGTTCCAATGCTTGACAACCCTTTTGGTGAAGAAGTTTTTCCTGATATCCAACCTAAACCTCCCCTGGTGCAACTTGAGGCCATTTCCTCTTATTCTATCACTTGTTACCTGGGAGAAGAGACCAACCCCCACATTTCTTTTATGAAGAATTTTGATTTATAGAAACAATATCATAAATTGCCTATTGTGGGTCCTTTATCCCTGCCTCAGAACTACACCAAGAGGTGAGGGAAGCTGGTGCTGGGAGGACATCTGAACAAGAGCAATACCAGCAAGCCTCCTCCCAAACCAAGATTATGTTAAGTTATGAGGTATTACTCGTGATTTTATGATGACTGTTTTAATATATTATATATGATTAGAACTAGAATCATGATGCTTCAATTGTCATGATAAATTTCAGTTTCTTCTTTAAGTACCTGTTGCTGTTGACAGTTGCTGTTCTGGCCTGGTAGCTGCTGTTCTGGGAACTCCTGCTGACGTGGTCAAAACCCGGATAATGAACCAGCCGAGAGACAAGCAGGGAAGGTGCAGACACTTCAGAGACTGACTTCATAGAATCATAGAATGGTTTGGGTTGGAAGGGACCTTAAAGATCATCCAGTTCCAACCCCCCTGCCATCAGCAGGGACACCTTCCACTAGATCAGGTTGCTCAAGGCCTCATCCAACCTGGCCTTGAACACTTCCAGGGAGGGGACTTTTCAGAAGAAAATGGAAACCCCGAGTCTCACTGATGTCACTGGGAGTGAAGTGCTCAGTCTTTAATTTGCTCTTCATCTTTCTGACGACCATTTTATTGGTTTAGTTTGGCGCGTCCAGGGGCGTTTGTTGTGATCCCCACCTAAGCTTACACAGTTACTTAATGGATTTCAGTTCTGACGAGACTCCAGTGAACTTACAAAAGATCTCTTGCTTGTATAAATTTATCTGATACAGATTTGTTTGGGGGGGGGGGGGATTTTTTTTAAATTGCATATTTGTAATCCTAACAGCACTTGTTCTCCTTGCACATTGCCAGAGGTCTGCTGTATAAGTCTTCCATGGACTGCTTGATTCAAACTGTACAGGGCGAAGGGTTTATGTCTCTGTACAAAGGCTTTATACCAACCTGGATGCGAATGGTAAGCGCCTTTTAACTCTCTTCGTGAGACAGTTGAACATTAAAATGTGAGGAGTTCTTTCTGTGTCAACACTTTTCCAAAACTATTTGGGTCTCTCGCTTTATTTAATTGCAGTTAGCACAGTTGAATGTAGTGGGTGACGCGACTGCTTGCAGTGTCACTTCTCCCACGGTGCCTCTTACATCTCTTTAATTTGGAGAATGTTGTCCTGCTTAATTACTAGTGATTTTCCTTGCACAATTTCAAGCTCCCTCCTTTCTCCCTTCCTAAACTCTCCTTTGTTATCTTCTTGTTCCCAGCCCTGGACTCCTTTGGCATCCCTCTTTTACTTTCATTCCTCCTCTCCTGATCCCAGAATTGCTTTATTAGTGCTCCATCCTGGATCTCACTTTTGCCCCTCTTGCCTACAGGCAGCAGCTTTCTCCTGCGCGCTGCTGAGCCGCTGAAGCTCCATCTGTACCATTCAGCCACGCAGCAGTGGGAGCTTGGGAACTGGCACTGTCATTCTGGGCAAGGGACAATTCCCAGTAATAAATTCAGATGTGACCACGTTTTTTTTTTTTTAAGTCTATAAGAATTTAACAATTCAGTTACATCCAGACACTGCCAACTGGTTTCAAGGTCTTGACACTGTTTAACTGACCAGACTGAGCACTAAAATTGGAGGCAAAAGTCTCCCTTCTCCAGTTTAACTGAGCACAACAGTGGCCACAGCCTCTGGCAAGAGCAATGACAGGAAGGGTCTGCTCAGTTGCGCAGTCCCCGTGTCCCTCAGCTGGAGCACGTTCAGTATTGATGGGCCCTCTGAGTTTACTACCAAGCTAAAAATTTCCATGGAGCATAGACCAACTGAAATTTTCCAAAGGCTTGTAATTTTGGGAATGTTTAGCAGGTGTTTCAGAGGAGCAGGAAAAGTTGTTTCCAAGGCACAAGGCAGCCTTTTGCCAAACACCAAGCTATTGCCAAAAAAAGAGAATTGGAGCAGCTCAGCTAAATGGGTGCAGGATATACATTTTATGCACGAACTGTGTAATTTTCTGATTAAGGTTTTGGGACAAGTAAACCCTTAAAAATTTTTTTTAAAAAGCATTCAGCCTGAAGTAGCCCCCAGGTGTGAAACTTCTCAGGTCAAACATTTATGGGTTGGCAAGCTGAAAACAAAGCTTTAGGTGTCTTGTGATGGACTGGGTAGCCCTAACCATATGCAACACTATGATTTTTGTATGAAAGATATGAGATTGAGTTTAAGAATATGATTTTTAAGAGAAGACAGTTTAATCTAATGGGTTTATTTCTTGGATCACTTCTGTTTCAAGCCTGTAACTTCAGTGTTTGCTTTCACAGGCTCCTTGGTCACTGGTATTCTGGCTTACGTATGAACAAATCAGAAGGATCTGTGGAGTTAGTTCTTTTTAAAATCATGACAACACTTCAATATTCACAAAACACAGAAGAATCAGAAAGCTGAATTATCATTCCACGAGGCATCCTGACCCCACAGGCAACCAATTCATTTAGGAGGTTGGCAGTAGCATCACATGTATAGGTTGCTGCCCCAAAGCCAGTCCTTGCTGATTAGGAGTAGCCATGACTTCAGGATACTATTTGTTTGGCAGACTGCTATATGAAATTTAAAGTTATCCACAGGATAAAATTGCAACAATTATATTTCAACTGGCAGCCAGCATCAGCTCTCTGAAACAGGAAACAGAGGTAAAAAAACCAACCAAACAAACAATAAACCTATCTACCAGGTAGAACATAATGCTGTTTGCTTGTCTGATAATAGAGATGGTTCCTATTGTTAAGAAGAGCAGGTTGAACAATGCAGCACCGAGTATCTTCTGTGGCTAAGCAGTCTGTGAAATTATTTAGGAATTTTTGTTAGTGTTACATTTGTATTTGCATAAAGAACTACCTCTCGTTACTGTGATGCCTCAGCAAATCAAGCCTGTAGAGCTAGGAACTGAAAAGGGATTTATTCGATTTCAAATTTGCTTTGCACAAAAGGTGGAAGGGGTTGTGTTCCTCTCACTTCCCAGAGACCACCTGATCTCTTCACTCGACCACTTGAGTAACACCCACGAGTCCAATGCAGTCCTGTACCCAGGAAATCAAACGCCAACTTCGCTCTGCCCCTTTTGAAGGACTCACAATACACACGCTGTCCACAGGACTGAGTTGAACCTCTTGTCCTTTTGAGAGTCCCAGTCCTGACGTGGCAGACTCTGTCATGAAGATACCACTTTTCCATGGAAATATGCACTCTGCTCACTTTAAATCTAGTTGGAAATACAAAGTTCTCTTCAAAACCACAAAATGTTTGAATATGAGTGAGTTGGGCTTTTTTTAACCTAAGGCTTTGAAGATTTCCTAGGAAAGGGGACTGCTGCTGTTTGTCACTGGGCTTATCTGTGGCAATCAGGAGGAACAAAATGCAGTATAAAAGCAATCCTAACGTAGACAGAACAAAGCTGGCTTTGATTTAGCAATATCTAGTAATAAAATGACTGTACAAGGCTTAGTTCTCTGAGTAAACACTCAGGATTTCTTCTAGACTAGTCTTTGCAACTAGTATCTTCAATGTGATAATTCCTGATTAAATAGAGTTTGGGCATCTTCTTGGCTTGGACTTGTACTTTTTGATTGTATTGTTGATCTGTCATGGCTCCGTGTATTTGAGCGTGGGATTCCAGCCTGGAAAAAAATAATCTCAGGATTATTGGGGGTCAGAAGTTTTGGGATTTTTTTCAGAAATACTGTTATTTTTCTAGCTGTCAGCCTGAGAAACTAATCTGAGTTCTTTCCTTCTTGTACCTTCACCTTCACCAGTGATTATAAACTAGCAGTCAAAGCTGCTTCTTCTGTTAAATCCTGAGTGGTCCTGCCTGCAATCCTGTTACTCAGATAACCCTGATGATGGATATGCAGAAGCATTTGATCTATCGAGTCAAGAAAAGTAAATTTAAAAGTCTTGTAGTGAACTGTTTTAACTTTTCATAAAGCTCTTTTTTTTTTTTTCTGAGCGTGAAACACTAAAGATATTTGTAACAGTGCTGATTCCTAGTATTTTGTATTAAAAACTAAATAAATAATGTGAAGAGCAAAACTTGCTATTTTCTGCATTACTTCTTAGTGTTCTGCAGTTCCTAATTTTTCAAGCAGAAGTTTCTCTCCGGTGAAACCCTTGGCCATATTTATTTAGTTACCCGCTTCAGTTTCAGAAGCCCAGAATTAGCCTGAGGATGGCACTTGGCTGGACACTCCTGTGGCCTAAAGAAAGGTTCGCTGCAGTCCTGAGCCTTCCTCTTCCTCACACCTCCACTTCTGATCACTGTCCCTACAGTCTGGAAGGCAGCTCCATCAACACCTCAAACGCCTGCCTGGGAAAAGGAGGGGGAAACCAGGGGGAAATCCCACACGTGCAGAGCTGAACAGATAGAATCATAGAATGGTTTGGGTTGGAAGAGACCTCAAAGATCATCTAGTTCCAACCCCCCTGCCATGGCAGGGACACCTTCCACTGGACCAGGTTGCTCAAAGCCTCATCCAGCCTGGCCTTCAACACTTCCA